GCCAGAATTTGGGTCCGAAATATGGCTCGGGTATCAAATTTCGGATGTTTGGGATATTTTGAAAACTGCAGGGGGGTTTGGGCAAAATTTGACCCATCGCCGCTTTCAGTAATTGGCATATTTTTGGTATAAAAAGTAGGAATTTCAAACTGCGAATAGGTGCAGAGAGCCAGAATTTGGGTCCAAAATATGGCTCAGGTATCGAATTTGGGATGTTTGGGATATTTTGAAAACTGCAGGGGGGTTTGGGCAAAATGTGACCCACCGCCGCTTTCAGTAATTGGCATATTTTTGGTATAAAAAGTAGGAATTTCAAACTGCGAATAGGTGCAGAGAGCCAGAATTTGGGTCCAAAATATGGCTCAGGTATCGAATTTGGGATGTTTGGGATATTTTGAAAACTGCAGGGGGGGTTTGGGCAAAATGTGACCCACCGCCTCTTTCAGTAATTGGCAGATTTTTGGTATAAAAAGTCGGAATTTCAAACTGCGAATAGGTGCAGAGAGTCACAATTTGGGTCCAAAATATGGCTCAGGTATCGAATTTGGGATGTTTGGGATAGTTTAAAAACTGCAGGGGGGTTTCGGCAAAATGTGACCCACCGCCGCTTTCAGTAATTGGCATATTTTTGGTATAAAAAGTCGGAATTTGAAACTGCGAATAGGTGCAGAGAGCCAGAATTTGGGTCCAAAATATGGCTCAGGTATCGAATTTGGGATGTTTGTGATAGTTTGAAAACTGCAGGGGGGTTTGGGCAAAACTTGACCCACCGCCGCTTTCAGTAATTGACATATTTTTGGTATAAAAAGTCGGAAATTCAAACTGCGAATAGGTGCAGAGAGCCAGAATTTGGGTCCGAAATATGGCTCGGGTATCAAATTTCGGATGTTTGGGATATTTTGAAAACTGCAGGGGGGTTTGGGCAAAATGTGACCCATCGCCGCTTTCAGTAATTGGCATATTTTTGGTATAAAAAGTAGGAATTTCAAACTGCGAATAGGTGCAGAGAGTCACAATTTGGGTCCAAAATATGGCTCAGGTATCGAATTTCGGATGTTTGGGATATTTTGAAAACTGCAGGGGGGGTTTGGGCAAAATGTGACCCACCGCCGCTTTCAGTAATTGGCATATTTTTGGTATAAAAAGTCGGAATTTTAAACTGCGAATAGGTGCAGAGAGCCAGAATTTGGGTCCGAAATATGGCTCAGGTATCGAATTTGGGATGTTTGTGATATTTTGAAAACTGCAGGGGGGTTTGGGCAAAATGTGACCCACCGCCGCTTTCAGTAATTGGCATATTTTTGGTATAAAAAATTGGAATGTCAAACTGCGAATAGGTGCAGAGAGCCAGAATTTGGGTCCGAAATATGGCTCAGGTATCGAATTTGGGATGTTTGGGATATTTTGAAAAGTGCAGGGGGGGTTTGGGCAAAATGTAACCCACCACCGCTTTCAGTAATTGGCAGATTTTTGGTATAAATAATCGGAATTTGAAACTGCGAATAGGTGCAGAGAGCCAGAATTTGGGTCCAAAATATGGCTCAGATTTCGAATTTGGGATGTTTGGGATATTTTGAAATTTGCAGGGGGGTTTGGGCAAAATTTGACCCACCACCGCTTTCAGTAATTGGCAGATTTTTGGTATAAAAATTCGGAATTTCAAACTGCGAATAGGTGCAGAGAGCCAGAATTTGGGTCCAAAATATGGCTCAGGTATCGAATTTGGGATGTTTGGGATATTTTGAAAACTGCAGGGGGGTTTGGGCAAAATTTGACCCACCACCGCTTTCAGTAATTGGCATATTTTTGGTATAAAAAATTGGAATGTCAAACTGCGAATAGGTGCAGAGCCAGAATTTGTGTTCAAAATATGGCTCAGGTATCGAATTTGGGACGTTTGGGATAGTTTGAAAACTGCAGGGGGGTTTGGGCAAAACTTGACCCACCGCCGCTTTCAGTAATTGACATATTTTTGGTATAAAAAGTCGGAAATTCAAACTGCGAATAGGTGCAGAGAGCCAGAATTTGGGTCCGAAATATGGCTCGGGTATCAAATTTCGGATGTTTGGGATATTTTGAAAACTGCAGGGGGGTTTGGGCAGAATTTGACCCATCGCCGCTTTCAGTAATTGGCATATTTTTGGTATAAAAAGTAGGAATTTCAAACTGCGAATAGGTGCAGAGAGCCAGAATTTGGGTCCAAAATATGGCTCAGGTATCGAATTTGGGATGTTTGGGATATTTTGAAAACTGCAGGGGGGTTTGGGCAAAATGTGACCCACCGCCGCTTTCAGTAATTGGCATATTTTTGGTATAAAAAGTAGGAATTTCAAACTGCGAATAGGTGCAGAGAGCCAGAATTTGGGTCCAAAATATGGCTCAGGTATCGAATTTGGGATGTTTGTGATAGTTTGAAAACTGCAGGGGGGTTTGGGCAAAACTTGACCCACCGCCGCTTTCAGTAATTGACATATTTTTGGTATAAAAAGTCGGAAATTCAAACTGCGAATAGGTGCAGAGAGCCAGAATTTGGGTCCGAAATATGGCTCGGGTATCAAATTTCGGATGTTTGGGATATTTTGAAAACTGCAGGGGGGTTTGGGCAAAATTTGACCCATCGCCGCTTTCAGTAATTGGCATATTTTTGGTATAAAAAGTAGGAATTTCAAACTGCGAATAGGTGCAGAGAGCCAGAATTTGGGTCCAAAATATGGCTCAGGTATCGAATTTGGGATGTTTGGGATATTTTGAAAACTGCAGGGGGGTTTGGGCAAAATGTGACCCACCGCCGCTTTCAGTAATTGGCATATTTTTGGTATAAAAAGTAGGAATTTCAAACTGCGAATAGGTGCAGAGAGCCAGAATTTGGGTCCAAAATATGGCTCAGGTATCGAATTTGGGATGTTTGGGATATTTTGAAAACTGCAGGGGGGTTTGGGCAAAATGTGACCCACCGCCGCTTTCAGTAATTGGCATATTTTTGGTATAAAAAGTAGGAATTTCAAACTGCGAATAGGTGCAGAGAGCCAGAATTTGGGTCCAAAATATGGCTCAGGTATCGAATTTGGGATGTTTGGGATATTTTGAAAACTGCAGGGGGGGTTTGGGCAAAATGTGACCCACCGCCTCTTTCAGTAATTGGCAGATTTTTGGTATAAAAAGTCGGAATTTCAAACTGCGAATAGGTGCAGAGAGTCACAATTTGGGTCCAAAATATGGCTCAGGTATCGAATTTCGGATGTTTGGGATAGTTTAAAAACTGCAGGGGGGTTTCGGCAAAATGTGACCCACCGCCGCTTTCAGTAATTGGCATATTTTTGGTATAAAAAGTCGGAATTTTAAACTGCGAATAGGTGCAGAGAGCCAGAATTTGGGTCCAAAATATGGCTCAGATATCGAATTTGGGATGTTTGGGATATTTTGAAAACTGCAGGGGGGGTTTGGGCAAAATGTGACCCACCGCCGCTTTCAGTAATTGGCATATTTTTGGTATAAAAAGTCGGAATTTTAAACTGCGAATAGGTGCAGAGAGCCAGAATTTGGGTCCGAAATATGGCTCAGGTATCGAATTTGGGATGTTTGTGATAGTTTGAAAACTGCAGGGGGGTTTGGGCAAAACTTGACCCACCGCCGCTTTCAGTAATTGACATATTTTTGGTATAAAAAGTCGGAAATTCAAACTGCGAATAGGTGCAGAGAGCCAGAATTTGGGTCCGAAATATGGCTCGGGTATCAAATTTCGGATGTTTGGGATATTTTGAAAACTGCAGGGGGGTTTGGGCAAAATTTGACCCATCGCCGCTTTCAGTAATTGGCATATTTTTGGTATAAAAAGTAGGAATTTCAAACTGCGAATAGGTGCAGAGAGCCAGAATTTGGGTCCAAAATATGGCTCAGGTATCGAATTTCGGATGTTTGGGATATTTTAAAAACTGCAGGGGGGTTTCGGCAAAATGTGACCCACCGCCGCTTTCAGTAATTGGCATATTTTTGGTATAAAAAGTCGGAATTTTAAACTGCGAATAGGTGCAGAGAGCCAGAATTTGGGTCCAAAATATGGCTCAGATATCGAATTTGGGATGCTTGGGATATTTTGAAAACTGCAGGGGGGTTTGGGCAAAATTTGACCCACCACTGCTTTCAGTAACTGGAAGATTTTTGGTATAAAAAGTCGGAATTTCAACCTGCGAATAGGTGCAGAGAGCCAGAATTTGGGTCGAAAATATGGCTTAGGCATCGAATTTTGGATGTTTGGGATATTTTGAAAACTGCAGGGGTGTTTGTGCAAAATGTGACCCACCGCCGCTTTCTGTAATTGGCAGATTTTTAGTATAAAAAGTCGGAATTTCAAACTGCGAATAGGTGCAGAGAACCAGAATTTGGGTCCAAAACATGGCTCAGGTATCGAATTTGGGATGTTTGGGATATTTTTAAAACTGCAGGGGGGTTTGGGCAAAATGTGACCCACCGCCGCTTTCAGTAATTGGCAGATTTTTGGTATAAAAAGTCGGAATTTCAAACTGCGAATAGGTGCAGAGAGTCAGAATTTGGGTCCAAAATATGGCTCAGGTATCGAATTTGGGATGTTTGGGATATTTTGAAAACTGCAGGGGGGTTTGGGCAAAATGCGACCCACTGCCGCTTTCAGTAATTGGCATATTTTTGGTATAAAAAGTCGGAATTTCAAACTGCGAATAGGTGCAGAGAGTCAGAATTTGGGTCCAAAATATGGCTCAGGTATCGAATTTGGGATGTTTGGGATATTTTGAAAACTGCAGGGGGGTTTGGGCAAAATGTGACCCATCGCCACTTTCAGTAATTGGCATATTTTTGGTATAAAAAGTCGGAATTTCAATCTGCGAATAGGCGCAGAGAGTCAGAATTTGGGTCCGAAATATGGCTCAGGTATCGGACGTGTCCAGTGTGTGTGTCTCTCACTGTCCCGTATGCCTGCTGCCCTGTCTATCTTCCCCGAGCAGTGTTACTCAGGTAGTATATGACATATTTCAGGGTTGACTGGGGCCCAGGAGCTGGAGAGGAGGCGGAGAGGAGAGCAGGGCGGACGGAGCCTGTACACCTCGGCCACCTCCCACCACCAGAGGGCCGCCTACACCGACAAGAACACCTTCCAAGATGACTTGGACCCCGTCAGCTCTGTCCTGCAGGTTAGTGGCTGGGTGTGGCTGGGTGGGGCTGAGTGGGGCTGGGTGTGGCTAGGTGGGGCTAGGTGGGGCTGGGTGGGGCTGGGTGTGGCTGGGTGTGGCTGTGAGCTCAGGTCAGCTAAGCCATTCCCAGGGGCAGGTGCACGTCCATATGTGTGAACATCTGCATCATTTTGTGTGCAATTGTTAGGTTCAGTCTGACTGGAAGGCCGCCGTCTTGTCCTCTTGAGTCCCCCCTCACATGTCAGTAGAGCAGGTTGACAGGCGCTGGCAGCCTGTCCCGAGTGAACGACAGGCTATACCCCGCCAACCTTTAAATCACTAGAATATGTGACAGCATAGTCTGCACGCTAATGCCCTCGACTCTTGCATCAGATCTATTAGTCTGTCTGTACTTATATTTATATCTTGTTGGTGTCAATATGTTGAGTTGGTTGATGAGATGTGTGTGTGTGTGACAGGAAGCGTCGCGGGAGAGCGGGGGTCGAGGCCAGACTGAGAGCGGCCGCCGCCCGCCCAGCCAAGACTGCGACAACAATGACATCACTGAGTGCATCAACCTGCTGGAGGTCCTCACCAACAAGGACCTCGGCTTCGCTGCCTCCGTCGACGAGCTCAACAGGATGTGTCCGTGAGTGACCTTACTGGTGGCCAGGAGGCAACATTGCTCACAATTTTAATGACCACATATGACTTACATAATGTCCAGTAGGGCCGGATACACGAAGCAGTTACGCAAGTACTGACTTACATCTTTCCTCAATCTTTGACGGGTTACATTTATTAAACAGTTTACAAGCATAAAAACTTCCCAATCAACTGTTGTTATTGTTATAAACAGCCTCCTGGTGCTTCGGAGCTCATTAACTGTCTAATAATCGTAAACAAAGCCGCCAAAGAATCAGAAAAGATGGACAGGCGCGTACGTGCTTGCGTAACTGCTTGGTGAATGTGGCCCCCTAGTACAGACCACGGCGTATGGTGTGTGAGCGAGGTGTCTGACCCACAGGGTGCTGCTCAACGGTCTACAGTGTATCGACAACTACACCCGCCGGTGCCTGACGCTCAAGCACAGAGAGTACTTCAACAAGCTGTACGCCGGTACTATCCGGGTCATCAAGGACCTCTGTAACACCAAGGGCAGGTACCAGCAAGGTGAGTCCCACGGGCAGGTCACAGCACAATGCTGGAGGGGTCACTGGGGGTGTACTGGGGGTCACAGGGATGAACTGGGGGCCACAGGGGTGAACTGGGGGTCACAGGGGTGAACTGGGGGTCACAGGGGTGTCTTAGGGCCACAGTGGTGTCTTGGGGGCCACAGGGGTATACTGGAGGGCCACAGGGGTGAACTGGGGGTCACAGGAGTGTCTTAGGGCCACAGGGGTGTCTTGGGGGCCACAAGGGTATACTGGAGGGCCACAAGGGTGAACTGGAGGGACACAGGAGTGCCTTGGGGTCACAGAGGTGTACTGGAGGGCCACAGGAGTCTACTGGGAGTCACTGGGAGCCACAGGGGTGTACTGGGAACCACAGGGGTGTACTGGGGACCACAGGGGTGTACTGGGGACCACATGGGTGTACTGGGGGGTCACAGGTGAACTGGAGGGCCACATGGGTGTACTGGGGGCCACAGGGGTGTACTGGGGTGCACAGGGGTGTACTGGAGGCCACAGAGGTATACTAGAGGACCACAGAGGTGTACTGGAGGACCACAGAAGTGTATTGGGCGGCCACAGGGGTGTACTGGGGCCACAGGAGTGTCTTTGGGCCACAGGGGTGTACTGGGGGGCCACAGGGGTGAACTGGAGCGCCACAGTGGGTGTACTGGAGCTTCACAGGGGTGTACTGAGGGCCACATGAGTGTCCTGAGAGGCCACAGAGGTGTACTGGGGGCCACGGGGGTGTACTAGCGGCCATTGGAGGTACTGGGGTCACAGGGGTGTACTGGGGACCACAGGGGTGTATTGGGGGCCACAGGTGTGTACTGGACGGCCACGGGGGTGTACTAGGGACCACAGGGGTGTACTGAGGGGCCACAGAGGTGAACTGGAGGGCCACAGAGGTGAACTGGAGGGCCACAGGGGTGTGCTGGGAGGCCACAAGGGTGTACTGAAGGCCACAGAGGTGTACTGGGGGCCAGAAGAGTGTCGTGGGAGGCCACAGAGGTGTACTGGGAGCCACGGGGGTGTACTGGGGGGCCATGGGGGTACTGGGGTCACAGGGGTGTACTGGGGGCCACAGGGGTGTACTGGAGTGCCACAGGGGTGTAATGGGGACCACAAGGGTGTACTGGGAGGCACAGGGATGTACTGGAGGCTACAGAGGTGTACTTGAGGGCCACAGGGATGTATTGGGAGGCTACAGGGGTGTACTGGGGGACACAAAGGTGTACTAGAGGCCACAGTGGTATACTGGGGACCACATAAGTGTATTATGAAGCCACAGGGGGTGTACTGGGGCCACAGGAGTGTCTTGGGGCCACAGGGGTGAACTGGGGGGCCTCTGGTGTGTACTGGAGGGCCACAGGGGTGTACTGGGGACCACAGGGGTGTACTGAGGGGCCACAGCGGTGACCTGGAGTGCCACAGGGGTGTACTGGGGGGCCACAGGGGTGTACTGGGGGTCACAGAGGTGAACTGGAGGGCCACAGGGGTGTACTGGAGGGCCACAGGGGTGTGCTGGGGACCACAGGGGTATACTGAGGGACCACAGAGTTGTACTGGGGGCCACAGGAGTGTCCTGGGAGGCCACATAGGTGTATTGGGGGCCTCAGAGGTGTACTGGGGGCCTCAGGGGTGTACTGGGGGCCACAGGGGTGTACTTGGGGGCCACAGAGGTGTACTGGGGCCACAGGGGTGTAATGGAGGGGCCACAGAGGTGTACTGGGGGTCCACAGGGGTATACCAGGCGCCACAGGAGTGTCCTGGGAGGCCACAGAGGGGTACTAGGGGCTACAGGGGTGTACTGGGGGCCACAGGGGTGTACTGGGGCCCACAGGTGTGTACTGGAGGGCCACAGGGGTGTACTGGGGACCACAGAAGTGTACTGAGGGGCCACAGAGATGAACTGGAGGGCCACACGAGTGTACTGGGGGCCACAGGGGTGTACTGAAGGCCACAGACGTGTACTGGGGGCCACAAGAGTGTCGTGGGAGGCCACAGAGGTGTACTGGGGGCCACGGGGGTGTACTGGGGGCCACAGGTGTGTACTGGAGGGCCACAGGGGTGTACTGGGGACCACAGGGGTGTACTGAGGGGCACAGGGATGTACTGGAGGCCACAGAGGTGTACTGGAGGGCCACAGGGGTGTATTGGGAGGCTACAGGGGTGTACTGGGGGCCACAGGGGTGTATTGAAGGCCACAGTGGTATACTGGGGACCACATAAGTGTATTGGGAAGCCACAGGGGTGTACTGGGGCCACAAGAGTGTCTTGGGCCGACAGGGATGTACTGGGGGTCACAGGTGTGTACTGGAGGGCCACAGGGGTGTTATGGGGGCCACAGGGGTGTACAGGGAGGCCACATGGGTATACTGGGGGGGGGCAACAGGAGTGTCATGGGAGGCCATAGAGGTGTACTGGGGGCCACAAGGGTGTACTGGGTACCACAGGGTTGTACTGAGGAGCCACAGAGGTGAACTGGAGGGCCACAGGGGTATGCTGGGGACCACAGGGGTGTACTGAGGGGCTACAGAGGTGTACTGGAGGGCCACAGATGTGTTCTGGGAGGCGACAGAGGTGTATTGGGGGCCACAGAGGTGTACTGGGGGCCACAGAGGTGTACTGGGGGCCACAGGAATGTCCTGGGAGGCCACATACGTGTATTGGGAGACACTGAGGTGTACTGGGGGCTACAGAGGAATATTGGGAGCCGCAGAGGTGTACTGGGGGCCACAGGGGTGTAATGGGGGCCACAGGGGTGTACTGGGGATCCACAGGGGTATACTAGGGGCCACATGAATGTCCTGGGAGGCCACAGAGGGGTACTGGGGACTGCAGGGGTGTACTGGGGGCCACAGGGGATGTACTGGGGGCCACAGGGGTATACTGGGGGCCACAGTGATTTACTGGGGGCTGCAGGGGTGTACTAAGGGCCACAGGAGTGTCCTGGGAGGTCACAGAGGGGTACTGGGGACTACAGGGGGTGTACTGGGGGCCACAGGGGATGTACTAGGGGTCACAGGGGTATACTGGGGGTCACAGTGATATACTGGGGGCTACAGGGTTGTACTGGGGGCCACAGGGGGTGTACTGGGGGCCACAGGGGTGTATTGGAGGTTACATGAGTTTCCTGGGAGGCCACAGGGGTACTGGGGGCTGCAGGGGTGTACTGGGGGCTACGGGGGTGTACTGTGGGCCACAGGGGGTGTACTGGGAGGCCACAGAGTGGTACTGGGGGCCACAGGGGTGGACTGGCGGCCACAGGGGTGTACTGGGAGGCCACAGGGGTGTACTGGGGGCCACAGTGGTGTACTGGGGGGCCATGGAGGGTACTGGGGTCACAGTGGTGTACTGGGGCCACAGGGGTGTACTTGGGGCCACTGGTGTGTACTGGAGAGCCACAGGGGTGTACTGGGGACCACATTGGTGTACTGAGGGGCCACAGGGGTGTAATGGGAGGCCACAGAGGTGTACTGGAGGGCCACAGGGGTGTACTGGAGGCCACAGTGATATACTGGGGACCACATAAGTGTATTGGGAAGCCGCAGGGGTTGTATTAGGGCCACAGGAGTGTCTTGGGGCCACAGAGGTGCACTGGGGGCCACAGGTGTGTCCTGGGAGGCCACAGAGGTGTACTGGAGGGCCACAGGGATATACTGGTGGGCACAGGGGTGTACTGGGGGCTACGGGGGTGTACTGTGGGCCACAGGGGTGTACTGGGAGGCTACAGGGATGTACTGGGGGCTACAGGAGTGTCCTGGGAGGTCACAGGGATATACTGGGGGCCACAGGGGTGTACTGGGGGCCACAGGGGTGTACTGGGGGCCACAGGGATATACTGGGGGGCAAAGGGGTGTACTGAGGGCTACGGGGGTGTACTGGGAGGCCTCAGGGGTGAACTGGGGGCTATGGGGGTGTACTGTTGGCCACAGGGGTGTACTGGGGGCTACGTGGGTGTACTAGGAGCCACAGTGGTGTACTGGAGGGCCACAGGGTTGTACTGGGAGGCCACAGGGGTGTACTGGGGATGACAGTGCACTACAGACAGTGACGCCCGTCCCAACACACCCTGAGATAATCGCCTGTTATTGGCCAATATTTGTTATATTGTTCTTCATATTGGGAAAATTTTTGAGAGCATTGGTGAGTGTGCACTGGACTGGTCGCTCCAGTGCCGGGGAGGTACTGGAGGGGGGGGGCAGCGCTACAGTACCGGGGAGGTACTGGGGGGCCGCGCCGCGCCGGCTTTTACTGACCTGCAGTGTAAAGGTTTTTAGCATAATTGTTATTGGCCTGTTAACTGTCGGAAGCCTTCAGTTAATGTTCCAATCCTTCGACAGATTGTATATAAGTTCTTTATAAGGTCTGGCCTCTCCCAGGGTGAGGGTATGAGGTCCTCTTGGACAAAAAGATCGTTCAGTTCAGTTCATTTATTATGTGTGTCCCCCAGGGGCGTGTGTGTGTCCCCCAGGGGCGTGTGTGTGTCCCCCAGGGGCGTGTGTGTGTGTCCCCCAGGGGCGTATGTGTCCCCCAGGGGCGTATGTGTCCCCCCCAGGGGCGTGTGTGTGTCCCCCAGGGGCGTTTGTGTGTCCCCCAGGGGCGTGTGTGTGTCCCCCAGGGGCGTGTGTGTGTCCCCCAGGGGCGTTTGTGTGTCCTCCAGGGACGTGTGTGTGTCCCCCAGGGGCCTGTGTCCCCCAGGGGCGTGTGTGTCCCCCAGGGGCGTATGTGTGTCCCCCAGGGCCGTGTGTGTGTCCCCCAGGGGCGTGTGCGTGTCCCCCAGGGGCGTGTGCGTGTCCCCCAGGGGCGTGTGCGTGTCCCACAGGGGCGTGTGCGTGTCCCCCAGGGGCGTGTGCGTGTCCCCCAGGGGCGTGTGTGTGTCCCCCAGGGGCGTGTGTGTGTCCCCCAGGGGCGTGTGTGTGTCCCCCAGGGGCGTGTGTGTGTCCCCCAGGGGCGTGTGTGTGTCCCCCAGGGGCGTGTGTGTGTGTGTCCCCCAGG